TGCTATACCGTATGAGAAGTCACGGGACCCCCACCACATAACTGAGAAAGCTCGAATCATCCGACGATATCATTAAAGGATTAATTTCTATCTTCTTGAACGAATAGCTCTTTGTATGGTCTTGTTTGCTGATCAACATTATATGATTTCTAGACATGTTCAATCTGTGCAGCTTCTTCACTTTCATATTAATGTCAATAAGAGCATTTCATCCATTTTTGAATAAATGTGGTTCATCACAAATTGTAGAAATACTCTGAGCATTGACTATAAAATGGAATGGACTTGATCCGAGTATTCTCCGAGCAAATCGTCTCAAGTGCGTTTTTGATCGTTGCGCCCTGATTAGAAATAGTGCCAACACGACGCACAAACCAAGTCGCTGCTAGTTTGTGATCACATGAACAATAATCGTTTTCAGATCTGGGATTCTTGTATCTTTTACTAGATAATAAGCCACAACCTGCTTATAATTTTTACGAATCCTCTTATCATGGAAGTAAGGGCATGTTTTGATAAATCACTTTTCAGAGTTCTAGTTGATTTTGTTACCTCAGAATTCAAGATTTATTAGCTGAAAATTGTACACTGTGAGCGGTTACCAAGACTAGATTCACAATCTTAAGTCCTAGGTGCTATCGTGGTCCGTGGGATCAGCCCTAAACTTTGTCCAAACCCTGCAATAATCGTAAACACTAAACAAGGGTAGACATATTTCTAGTTTAACTGCCTGAAGATTTTCTCTATGGTTTATACGTAACTCTCCACCTATTATCTCATTTTTGTACATGTTCTGGGAGAACTCAACTTGCGCCCTATAAAATGCAACGTCTTCCTGCACAGGTGGTTCTGGTTAAGTGCCAGCCTGCTTCGGGTTTGTAATTAGTTGTTGCAATTTACTGATTTCGTCGTCTTTTTCATAATCCAGATTTCGTTTTGGCATTCCAGTTCAGCCATTTGATCCTGAAGCTCTTTTATAGTAGAATCATTATGGCATCGTATATCTGAGATTTTAAATGAGTGGTTGACCTCACGTTGGTTACTCTCGTCCATCAGACTCTTTACGTCATTTCTCAGTTTAGATTCAAGTTCTTTTAGGAAGCCAATTTCATCTTGCAGTTCAGCAATGTGTGACATCGTTACATCAGTTTGTGTAGCAGCACTTAAAGAATCTTGCATATCTTCGTACTCAGCGTCAAGCATAGCTTCTAAGTCTGCAACCTTCTTTTTTGACTCAATATTTTGAGCTTCAAGAGATGGTTTAGGGCTCTCTGATCTTCCTAGGTTCTTCAGTTGAGTACGCAGCATCTCTATTTCTGACTCGTATGTTTTTAGTCTTTTTATATTTTTTTCCAGAAAATCGAGTCTGTATTGCAAGTCGATGAAATTCTTGCGCTTTTTGAGAATTTTTTTGAACCTTTCTATTTCTTCTTGTTGCGCATCCGTTACTTGGCGGAGTTCCTGACTGTAACGATCGATTTTAGAATTGGCTTCTGTGAGCTGTTTCTTCAGGTCCAAAATCTCCAGCTGATTATCTAGTTTAGTGAATTCTCTAAGCTCATTGAAAGATTCTTCCAGTTCTTTGCGTTGTCTTTTAAGTACACTTGCACGTCTTCAGCTATCACAGATTCTGCTTCGGCTAGTGCCTCCTCATATGTCTCTTCTTGAATAGGCCTCATTTCACGTCCGGATGATTCTTCTTTGGGTGGATAATTTTTCAATGGCATATACCCTAGGGATGCTTTTTTAGGTGATACGTTGCCATAGTGTCCAAAAGTATGACGTCTTAATTTTTTTCGGTGTTGATGCCGAGGCTCCCATTTGAAAGCGCCCGACAATAGATACTTCCGTTTTTAGTCTTTCTATCTCGAGCAGATACTCTTGTTTGCTTTTATCCATCTCTTTAGCTTAATTGCCTGCTTTTTGAGCCGAGCGAGTTTCGAGATCGCGAGTCAAGTTCTGATATCCTTGAAGTGTCTCTTCTGTAGCTGACAAGATGTTTACTTTCGTTTATTTTTGACAGTTTTAGTGCTTTGGGCGAATTCTGTGTGTAGATCTAGTCTCCTCCTCTGCAGCTAAAGTAACATTCCCGATAATCAATGATTTGGCATTACCGCCAAGAGCCTGTGAGAGCAGTCTAGTCAATTTCGAATCGCGATAACTGATAAACTCCTTCCCCTCGCTTAGTTGCCTTATCACATTTCCTAATACTGACAAAGATTTGTTTATGTTAGCCCCCTCTTTAAGACGCTCACCAGCAGCTTTCGTCAGAGAAACTCTCTCAGAACCAGCTAAGTCCATTAAGTTAAGGTAGCTTATATGTACAGGTCCATCTTTCTGATTGGCATCTTTCGACTCCAGAATAATCCGGAAAATCGTGTGTGATCGAGATGACCTCTCATTCATGCGAGTAGCTGCAACTCGTCTGATCTTATTGCCCTGCATCATGTTCTCCATAACTTTATCAACATTGTCTACGACAGCTTCCCTTGCATCAAGCAGCACATTTCCTTTGATATCTTCTCATAGTTAAACCCTGATTGCTCTTATCCAGGAGGTCATTGATCTTTTCATTGTAGATTTCAATATAACTGCATCTAATCAAGTACCTCTTATCAACCTGGTCTGCCACATGCTGGAATAACTGATTGGATACTAATTGGAAAAGCCCAGGATCTGTTTTATTGCCCAAAATGGTGTGTGTTTTGCCAGAAGATGTTTGGCCATATGCAAATATTGTGGCATTGAAACCTTCCATGAAGGAATCGACTAAAGGTTTTACTACAGATCCATATACATCTGAATTTGTACATTCCTGTTAAATACATGGTCGAATATATAAACCTCTCCATGGCGACTACTTTCATCGGCTTCCCATATGCAGTTTACTCTTACGTTCCAAAGACGCTCTAGACCATCGGCTACTTCGCGGTGGATCATTGGTCTGATCTTTGTGGCTACTTTAATATTGTTGGAAGTCATTTTGGAAGCTTGAACTGAAATTTAATTAGAACTAGGGCTTTTCACGGGTTATAAAGAGGGGCAGATGTATCAGGTTGATACATTCTTTTTTTCCTCCTTTCCAGTATAGAAGATTTTTTTCTCTTGTAGGCTATGAATGCGGTCCGATAGTTTAGTAGAGCTACATTTACAGGGTGACTCAAAATCAAAGAAGAAACAGAATTGTTAAATTTCATATAGACTGTTATTGTTATTACAAAAAGAAGTTGAAGCAGCAGCAAATTCTCACAAATCTATAGATCCATCACTTTCAGCACCCGATTTTTCAACTTGAAAAATGCAGCTCGGTGAAGAATCACAAGGTAACTGTTGTCTATTCAGACAATACTCTTCTAAAAGCAACGCGAAGTTACCTAGTGCCTTACATGAATCGCCTTCATAATTCTTCATTATTGTCAATGGAAAACTGAAATTGTTGATTATTACAGTTTTTAATGCTTCAAATAACAGATGGTGTTCGTGTTGGAAATCCCACGTCTAATCTCGCAAAACAGGTTATCCACCGGATCTTACTATCAACATCTGAAATGCCATTACTGTTTTTAGCCATGTGTACAACAGGTTTGTACGCATAAGACACTCTTACATGAAAACTGTTTATTGTCTAAAAACGAAAATACCCCATTGAAGATGAGTAATGATAAATATAATCCTCGAAACTTGAACTGTAATATGAACATAAAAAAACTAACAAAATGGGCCATTTAACAACATATTTGGTGTTGATATTCTACAAAAAAATACTTTCTCGTATAAGGAAACATACAATAATTAACATTTATCACTTTTCACGAAACAATGTAAGTGCGCTGTGACTTTACATACTTATTACAGATTGTAGAACATTTTTTTCATTGTGTATTGTCATGTAACACCTACGTCGTTTTTTTTCTTTAACAACTGCATCAGGATCGAGAACTCTGGGCTGAGAAGTAGACGGCTTACTTTATTCGTCGTTGGTAATTTAGGATTCTTTGCATGGCTGAACGAAGCTCCCTAGGAAGTCTTGGATCTGATAAACGTCCTCTCATACGAAGTTAAATTAGAGTTTGCCTCAGGGGAACAATAAAATTTCGTCGCCTAATGGAACTTTCAGTCCCAGACTGAAAAAAAAAGGAATTTACAGAAGCTGGTTGGATACCAAATAGCACAAGGCCATCTTCTCGTTCTCTAACCAGTATTGTAATTTACACACTTCCGATCTAATGCATTACCCCCCGCCTTCATAGTGTTATAAAAATAATATAGGATCTTATCAGGTTTCTTTGATTCCTCTACTATTTTGTTATCATGCTGCATAGATTGCTATACGAGAACATGTGTATTTGGTTTTGGAAGATACTACTCTAAGGCTGTACAACATAAACTTAGAAGTACCTGGCTGTGTTTCCTTCTTATTTGGAACTACATGTTGGGGTACTTGTTACTTATTTTTACGCTTCCTGCCGACATAGGTCAGTTGGTTGATGCGCAATTCTACATGTAATTCTACTGACGTGAACCAGTCATCTGCTGTGATATTTCTGTTCGTATAGACGAAAGCATTGAGCAGGTAGTGGTGAGTCTTTGCATCATCAGTCCATACTTATTCGGTTTAGTTTTCTTGTAGGCACAGGAAGGACATCGGCCCACGAGCATCTCGTATTTTGTAGGGGACTCACCCGAAATATAACAATTTCGACAGTTCTCTATGAGTGTCTCGAAAATTTCACGTATTTGGAGAAATTTATCGGCATTTCTCGAGTCACAGGGTTATTATTTTCCAAATTGGTTGCCACGGACTTTAGTTCAGGTAAATGCGTAATAATCGACCAGTTGCAGGCGCTCGTTTTGACCAATTGTACATGTTTTTTCCATAGGCATAGCGAGGTCGCCCATAGGAAGTTGTTCAGGTTGATCGATAGCAGCGTCGTCCTCGGCGTAGTCTATAGTGTATTGTTCATCCGTCAACAACGAAAAAATCCATTGTGAAGGAAGTTCAAATCGTACACGCAACTGACATCCTCGGATCAAATTTGACCGCAAAGTCAACAAACCAACAATTGTGATGTTTAAATTAAACTGTGGTTTGAGGTATACGTGCTCATACCGTATGAGAAGTCACGGGACCCCCACCACATAACTGAGAAAGCTCGAATCATCCGACGATATCATTAAAGGATTAATTTCTATATTCTTGAACGAATCTATAAAATCAAAGTGGCTGGGTTTCAATTTACATAGCTCTTTGTATGGTCTTGTTTGCTGATCAACATTATATGATTTCTAGACATGTTCAATCTGTGCAGCTTCTTCACTTTCATATTAATGTCAATAAGAGCATTTCATCCATTTTTGAATAAATGTGGTTCATCACAAATTGTAGAAATACTCTGAGCATTGACTATAAAATGGAATGGACTTGATCCGTGAGTATTCTCCGAGCAAATCGTCTCAAGTGCGTTTTTGATCGTTGCGCCCTGATTAGAAATAGTGCCAACAACGCACAAACCAAGTCGCTGCTAGTTTGTGATCACATGAACAATAATCGTTTTCAGATCTGGGATTCTTGTATCTTTTACTAGATAATAAGCCACAACCTGCTTATAATTTTTACGAATCCCTCTTATCATGGAAGTAAGGGCATGATTTCTGATAAATCACTTTTTCAGAGTTCTAGTTGATTTTGTTACCTCAGAATTCAAGATTTATTAGCTGAAAATTGTACACTGTGAGCACTGGGATCAGCCCTAAACTTTGTCCAAACCCTGCAATAATCGTAAACACTAAACAAGGGTAGACATATTTCTAGTTTAACTGCCTGAAGATTTTCTCTATGGTTTATACGTAACTCTCCACCTATTATCTCATTTTTGTACATGTTCTGGGAGAACTCAACTTGCTCCCTATAAAATGCAACGTCTTCCTGCACAGGTGGTTCTGGTTAAGTGCCAGCCTGCTTCGGGTTTGTAATTAGTTGTTGCAATTTTCTGATTTCGTCGTCCTTTTTCATAATCCAGATTTCGTTTTGGCATTCCAGTTCAGCCATTTGATCCTGAAGCTCTTTTATAGTAGAATCATTATGGCATCGTATATCTGAGATTTTAAATGAGTGGTTGACCTCACGTTGGTTACTCTCGTCCATCAGACTCTTTACGTCATTTCTCAGTTTAGATTCAAGTTCTTTTAGGAAGCCAATTTCATCTTGCAGTTCAGCAATGTGTGACATCGTTACATCAGTTTGTGCAGCAGCACTTAAAGAATGTTGCATATCTTCGTACTCAGCGTCAAGCATAGCTTCTAAGTCTGCAACCTTCTTTTTTGACTCAATATTTTGAGCTTCAAGAGATGGTTTAGGGCTCTCTGATCTTCCTAGGTTCTTCAGTTGAGTACGCAGCATCTCTATTTCTGACTCGTATGTTTTTAGTCTTTTTATTATTTTTTTCCAGAAAATCGAGTCTGTATTGCAAGTCGATGAAATTCTTGCGCTTTTTGAGAATTTTTTTGAACTCTTTCTATTTCTTCGTTGTACGCATCCGTTACTTGGCGGAGTTCCTGACTGTAACGATCGAATTTAGAATTGGCTTCTGTGAGCTGTTTCTTCAGGTCCAAAATCTCCAGCTGATTATCTAGTTTAGTGAATTCTCTAAGCTCATTGAAAGATTCTTCCAGTTCTTTGAGTTGTCTTTTAAGTACACTTGCACGTCTTCAGCTATCACAGATTCTGCTTCGGCTAGTGCCTCCTCATATGTCTTCTTGAATAGGCCTCATTTCACGTCCGGATGATTCTTCTTTGGGTGGATAATTTTTCAATGGCATATACCCTAGGGATGCTTTTTTAGGTGATACGTTGCCATAGTGTCCAAAAGTATGACGTCTTAATGTTTTTTTCGGTGTTGATGCCGAGGCTCCCATTTGAAAGCGCCCGACAATAGATACTTCCGTTTTTAGTCTTTCTATCTCGAGCAGATACTCTTGTTTGCTTTTATCCATCTCTTTTAGCTTAATTGCCTGCTTTTTGAGCCGAGTTTCGAGATCGCGAGTCAAGTTCTGATATCCTTGAAGTGTCTCTTCTGTAGCTGACAAGATGTTTACTTTCGTTTTATTTTTGACAGTTTTAGTGCTTTGGGCGAATTCTGGTGTAGATCTAGTCTCCTCCTCTGCAGCTAAAGTAACATTCCCGATAATCAATGATTTGGCATTACCGCCAAGAGCCTGTGAGAGCAGTCTAGTCAATTTCGAATCGCGATAACTGATAAACTCCTTCCCCTCGCTTAGTTGCCTTATCACATTTCCTAATACTGACAAAGATTTGTTTATGTTAGCCCCCTCTTTAAGACGCTCACCAGCAGCTTTCGTCAGAGAAACTCTCTCAGAACCAGCTAAGTCCATTAAGTTAAGGTAGCTTATATGTACAGGTCCATCTTTCTGATTGGCATCTTTCGACTCCAGAATAATCCGGAAAATCGTGTGTGATCGAGATGACCTCTCATTCATGCGAGTAGCTGCAACTCGTCTGATCTTATTGCCCTGCATCATGTTCTCCATAACTTTATCAACATTGTCTACGACAGCTTCCCTTGCATCAAGCAGCACATTTCCTTTGATATCTTCTCTTATAGTTAAACCCTGATTGCTCTTATCCAGGAGGTCATTGATCTTTTCATTGTAGATTTCAATATAACTGCATCTAATCAAGTACCTCTTATCAACCTGGTCTGCCACATGCTGGAATATCTGATTGGATACTAATTGGAAAAGCCCAGGATCTGTTTTATTGCCCAAAATGGTGTGTGTTTGCCAGAAGATGTTTGGCCATATGCAAATATTGTGGCACTGAAACCTTCCATGAAGGAATCGACTAAAGGTTTTACTACAGATCCATATACATCTGAATTTGTACATTCCTGCTTAAATACATGGTCGAATATATAAACCTCTCCATGGCGACTACTTTCATCGGCTTCCCATATGCAGTTTACTCTTACGTTCCAAGACGCTCTAGACCATCGGCTACTTCGCGGTGGATCATTGGTCTGATCTTTGTGGCTACTTTAATATTGTCGGAAGTCATTTTGGAAGCTTGAACTGAAATTTAATTAGAACTAGGGCTATTTCACGGGTTATAAAGAGGGGCACTTTCATAATCCCAGATTTCGTTTTGGCATTCCAGTTCAGCCATTTGATCCTGAAGCTCTTTATAGTAGAATCATTATGGCATCGTATATCTGAGATTTTAAATGAGTGGTTGACCTCACGTTGGTTACTCTCGTCCATCAGACTCTTTACGTCATTTCTCAGTTTAGATTCAAGTTCTTTTAGGAAGCCAATTTCATCTTGCAGTTCAGCAATGTGTGACATCGTTACATCAGTTTGTGTAGCAGCACTAAAGAATCTTGCATATCTTCGTACTCAGCGTCAAGCATAGCTTCTAAGTCTGCAACCTTCTTTTTTGACTCAATATTTTGAGCTTCAAGAGATGGTTTAGGGCTCTCTGATCTTCCTAGGTTCTTCAGTTGAGTACGCAGCATCTCTATTTCTGACTCGTATGTTTTTAGTCTTTTTATTATTTTTTTCCAGAAAATCGAGTCTGTATTGCAGTCGATGAAATTCTTGCGCTTTTTGAGAATTTTTTTGAACTCTTTCTATTTCTCTTCGTTGTACGCATCCGTTACTTGGCGGAGTTCCTGACTGTAACGATCGATTTTAGAATTGGCTTCTGTGAGCTGTTTCTTCAGGTCCAAAATCTCCAGCTGATTATCTAGTTTAGTGAATTCTCTAAGCTCATTGAAAGATTCTCCAGTTCTTTGCGTTGTCTTTTAAGTACACTTGCACGTCTTCAGCTATCACAGATTCTGCTTCGGCTAGTGCCTCCTCATATGTCTCTTCTTGAATAGGCCTCATTTCACGTCCGGATGATTCTTCTTTGGGTGGATAATTTTCAATGGCATATACCCTAGGGATGCTTTTTTAGGTGATACGTTGCCATAGTGTCCAAAAGTATGACGTCTTAATGTTTTTTCGGTGTTGATGCCGAGGCTCCCATTTGAAAGCGCCCGACAATAGATACTTCCGTTTTAGTCTTTCTATCTCGAGCAGATACTCTTGTTTGCTTTTATCCATCTCTTTTAGCTTAATTGCCTGCTTTTTGAGCCGAGTTTCGAGATCGCGAGTCAAGTTCTGATATCCTTGAAGTGTCTCTTCTGTAGCTGACAAGATGTTTTACTTTCGTTTTATTTTTGACAGTTTTAGGTGCTTGGGCGAATTCTGGTGTAGATCTAGTCTCCTCCTCTGCAGCTAAAGTAACATTCCCGATAATCAATGATTGGCATTACCGCCAAGAGCCTGTGAGAGCAGTCTAGTCAATTTCGAATCGCGATAACTGATAAACTCCTTCCCCTCGCTTAGTTGCCTTATCACATTTCCTAATACTGGACAAAGATTTGTTTATGTTAGCCCCCTCTTTAAGACGCTCACCAGCAGCTTTCGTCAGAGAACTCTCTCAGAACCAGCTAAGTCCATTAAGTTAAGGTAGCTTATATGTACAGGTCCATCTTTCTGATTGGCATCTTTCGACTCCAGAATAATCCGGAAAATCGTGTGTGATCGAGATGACCTCTCATTCATGCGAGTAGCTGCAACTCGTCTGATCTTATTGCCCTGCATCATGTTCTCCATAACTTTATCAACATTGTCTACGACAGCTTCCCTTGCATCAAGCAGCACATTTCCTTTGATATCTTCTCATAGTTAAACCCTGATTGCTCTTATCCAGGAGGTCATTGATCTTTTCATGTAGATTCATATAACTGCATCTAATCAAGTACCTCTTATCAACCTGGTCTGCCACATGCTGGAATAACTGATTGGATACTAATTGGAAAAGCCCAGGATCTGTTTTATTGCCCAAAATGGTGTGTGTTTTGCCAGAAGATGTTTGGCCATATGCAAATATTGTGGCATTGAAACCTTCCATGAAGGAATCGACTAAAGGTTTTACTACAGATCCATATACATCTGAATTTGTACATTCCTGATTAAATACATGGTCGAATATAAAACCTCTCCATGGCGACTACTTTCATCGGCTTCCCATATGCAGTTTACTCTTACGTTCCAAAGACGCTCTAGACCATCGGCTACTTCGCGGTGGATCATTGGTCTGATCTGTGTGGCTACTTTAATATTGTTGGAAGTCATTTGGAAGCTTGAACTGAAATTTAATTAGAACTAGGGCTATTTCACGGGTTATAAAGAGGGGCAGATGTATCAGGTTGATACATTCTTTTTTTCCCTCCTTTCCAGTATAGAAGATTTTTTCTCTTGTAGGCTATGAATGCGGTCCGATAGTTTAGTAGAGCTACATTTACAGGGTGACTCAAAATCAAAGAAGAAACAGAATTGTTAAATTTCATATAGACTGTTATTGTTATTACAAAAGAAGTTGAAGCAGCAGCAAATTCTCACAAATCTATAGATCCATCACTTTCAGCACCCGATTTTTCAACTTGAAAAATGCAGCTCGGTGAAGAATCACAAGGTAACTGTTGTCTATTCAGACAATACTCTTCTAAAAGCAACGCGAAGTTACCTAGTGCCTTACATGAATCGCCTTCATAATTCTTCATTATTGTCAATGGAAAACTGAAATTGTTGATTATTACAGTTTTTAATGCTTCAAATAAACAGATGGTGTTCGTGTTGGAAATCCCACGTCTAATCTCGCAAAACAGGTTATCCACCGGATCTTACTATCAACATCTGAAATGCCATTACTGTTTTTAGCCATGTGTACAACAGGTTTGTACGCATAAGACACTCTTACATGAAAACTGTTTATTGTCTAAAAACGAAAATACCCCATTGAAGATGAGTAATGCAATAAATATAATCCTCGTAACTTGAACTGTAATATGAACATAAAAAAACTAACAAAATGGGCCATTTAACAACATATTTGGTGTTGATATTCTACAACAAAAACAAATACTTTCTCGTATAAGGAAACATACAATAATTAACATTTATCACTTTTCACGAAACAATGTAAGTGCGCTGTGACTTTACATACTTATTACAGATTGTAGAACATTTTTTTCATTGTGTATTGTCATGTAACACCTACGGTCGTTTTTTTTTTCTTTAACAACTGCATCAGGATCGAGAACTCTGGGCTGAGAAGTAGACGGCTTACTTTATTCGTCGTTGGTAATTAGGATTCTTTGCAGGGGAACAATAAAATTTCGTCGCCTAATGGAACTTTCAGTCCAGACTGAAAAAAAAAGGAATTTACAGAAGCTGGTTGGATACCAAATAGCAAAAGGCCATCTTCTCGTTTCTCTAACCAGTATTGTAATTTACACACTTCCGATCTAATGCATTACCCCCCCGCCTTCATAGTGTTATAAAAATAATATAGGATCTTATCAGGTTTCTTTGATTCCTCTACTATTTTGTTATCATGCTGCATAGATTGCTATACGAGAACATGTGTATTTGGTTTTGGAAGATACTACTCTAAGGCTGTACAACATAAACTTAGAAGTACCTGGCTGTGTTTCCTTCTTATTTGGAACTACATGTTGGGGTACTTGTTACTTATTTTTACGCTTCCTGCCGACATAGGTCAGTTGGTTGATGCGCAATTCTACATGTAATTCTACTGACGTGAACCAGTCATCTGCTGTGATATTTCTGTTCGTATAGACGAAAGCATTGAGCAGGTAGTGGTGAGTCTTTGCATCATCAGTCCATACTTATTCGGTTTAGTTTTCTTGTAGGCACAGGAAGGACATCGGCCCACGAGCATCTCGTATTTTGTAGGGGACTCACCCGAAATATAACAATTTCGACAGTTCTCTATGAGTGTCTCGAAAATTTCACGTATTGGAGAAATTTATCGGCATTTCTCGAGTCACAGGGTTATTATTTTCCAAATTGGTTGCCACGGACTTTAGTTCAGGTAAATGCGTAATAATCGACCAGTTGCAGGCGCTCGTTTTGACCAATTGTACATGTTTTTTCCATAGGCATAGCGAGGTCGCCCATAGGAAGTTGTTCAGGTTGATCGATAGCAGCGTCGTCCTCGTAGTCTATAGTTCATCCGTCAACAAAAATCCATTGTGAAGTTCAAATCGTAAACTGTGGTTTTTTTTTTGTGGTTTGAGGTATACGTGCTCATACCGTATGAGAAGTCACGGGACCCCCACCACATAACTGAGAAAGCTCGAATCATCCGACGATATCATTAAAGGATTAATTTCTATATTCTTGAACGAATCTATAAAATCAAAGTGGCTGGGTTTCAATTTACATAGCTCTTTGTATGGTCTTGTTTGCTGATCAACATTATATGATTTCTAGACATGTTCAATCTGTGCAGCTTCTTCACTTTCATATTAATGTCAATAAGAGCATTTCATCCATTTTTGAATAAATGTGGTTCATCACAAATTGTAGAAATACTCTGAGCATTGACTATAAAATGGAATGGACTTGATCCGTGAGTATTCTCCGAGCAAATCGTCTCAAGTGCGTTTTTGATCGTTGCGCCCTGATTAGAAATAGTGCCAACAACGCACAAACCAAGTCGCTGCTAGTTTGTGATCACATGAACAATAATCGTTTTCAGATCTGGGATTCTTGTATCTTTTACTAGATAATAAGCCACAACCTGCTTATAATTTTTACGAATCCCTCTTATCATGGAAAGTAAGGGCATGATTTCTGATAAATCACTTTTTCAGAGTTCTAGTTGATTTTGTTACCTCAGAATTCAAGATTTATTAGCTGAAAATTGTACACTGTGAGCACTGGGATCAGCCCTAAACTTTGTCCAAACCCTGCAATAATCGTAAACACTAAACAAGGGTAGACATATTTCTAGTTTAACTGCCTGAAGATTTTCTCTATGGTTTATACGTAACTCTCCACCTATTATCTCATTTTTGTACATGTTCTGGGAGAACTCAACTTGCTCCCTATAAAATGCAACGTCTTCCTGCACAGGTGGTTCTGGTTAAGTGCCAGCCTGCTTCGGGTTTGTAATTAGTTGTTGCAATTTTCTGATTTCGTCGTCCTTTTTCATAATCCAGATTTCGTTTTGGCATTCCAGTTCAGCCATTTGATCCTGAAGCTCTTTTATAGTAGAATCATTATGGCATCGTATATCTGAGATTTTAAATGAGTGGTTGACCTCACGTTGGTTACTCTCGTCCATCAGACTCTTTACGTCATTTCTCAGTTTAGATTCAAGTTCTTTTAGGAAGCCAATTTCATCTTGCAGTTCAGCAATGTGTGACATCGTTACATCAGTTTGTGCAGCAGCACTTAAAGAATGTTGCATATCTTCGTACTCAGCGTCAAGCATAGCTTCTAAGTCTGCAACCTTCTTTTTTGACTCAATATTTTGAGCTTCAAGAGATGGTTTAGGGCTCTCTGATCTTCCTAGGTTCTTCAGTTGAGTACGCAGCATCTCTATTTCTGACTCGTATGTTTTTAGTCTTTTTATATTTTTTTCCAGAAAATCGAGTCTGTATTGCAAGTCGATGAAATTCTTGCGCTTTTTGAGAATTTTTTTGAACTCTTTCTATTTCTTCGTTGTACGCATCCGTTACTTGGCGGAGTTCCTGACTGTAACGATCGATTTAGAATTGGGCTTCTGTGAGCTGTTTCTTCAGGTCCAAAATCTCCAGCTGATTATCTAGTTTAGTGAATTCTATAAGCTCATTGAAAGATTCTTCCAGTTCTTGAGTTGTCTTTTAAGTACACTTGCACGTCTTCAGCTATCCCAGATTCTGCTTCGGCTAGTGCCTCCTCATATGTCTCTTCTGAATAGGCCTCATTTCACGTCCGGATGATTCTTCTTTGGGTGGATAATTTTTCAATGGCATATACCCTAGGGATGCTTTTTTAGGTGATACGTTGCCATAGTGTCCAAAGTATGACGTCTTATGTTTTTTCGGTGTTGATGCCGAGGCTCCCATTTGAAAGCGCCCGACAATAGATACTTCCGTTTTTAGTCTTTCTATCTCGAGCAGATACTCTTGTTTGCTTTTATCCATCTCTTTTAGCTTAATTGCCTGCTTTTGAGCCGAGTTTCGAGATCGCGAGTCAAGTTCTGATATCTTGAAGTGTCTCTTCTGTAGCTGACAAGATGTTTACTTCGTTTTATTTTTGACAGTTTTAGTGCTTTGGGCGAATTCTGGTGTAGATCTAGTCTCCTCCTCTGCAGCTAAAGTAACATTCCCGATAATCAATGATTTGGCATTACCGCCAAGAGCCTGTGAGAGCAGTCTAGTCAATTTCGAATCGCGATAACTGATAAACTCCTTCCCTCGCTTAGTTGCCTTATCACATTTCCTAATACTGACAAAGATTTGTTTATGTTAGCCCCCTCTTTAAGACGCTCACCAGCAGCTTTCGTCAGAGAAACTCTCTCAGAACCAGCTAAGTCCATTAAGTTAAGGTAGCTTATATGTACAGGTCCATCTTTCTGATTAGCATCTTCGACTCCAGAATAATCCGGAAAATCGTGTGTGATCGAGATGACCTCTCATTCATGCGAGTAGCTGCAACTCGTCTGATCTTATTGCCCTGCATCATGTTCTCCATAACTTTATCAACATTGTCTACGACAGCTTCCCTTGCATCAAGCAGCACATTTCCTTTGATATCTTCTCTTATAGTTAAACCCTGATTGCTCTTATCCAGGAGGTCATTGATCTTTTCATTGTAGATTTCAATATAACTGCATCTAATCAAGTACCTCTTATCAACCTGGTCTGCCACATGCTGGAATAACTGATTGGATACTAATTGGAAAAGCCCAGGATCTGTTTTATTGCCCAAAATGGTGTGTGTTTTGCCAGAAGATGTTTGGCCATATGCAAATATTGTGGCATTGAAACCTTCCATGAAGGAATCGACTAAAGGTTTTACTACAGATCCATATACATCTGAATTTGTACATTCCTGCTTAAATACATGGTCGAATATATAACCTCTCCATGGCGACTACTTTCATCGGCTTCCCATATGCAGTTTACTCTTACGTTCCAAAGACGCTCTAGACCATCGGCTACTTCGCGGTGGATCATTGGTCTGATCTTTGTGGCTACTTTAATATTGCCGGAAGTCATTTTAGGAAGCTTGAACTGAAATTTAATTAGAACTAGGGCTATTTCACGGGTTATAAAGAGGGGCACTTTCATAATCCAGATTTCGTTTTGGCATTCCAGTTCAGCCATTTGGTCCTGAAGCTCTTTTATAGTAGAATCATTATGGCATCGTATATCTGAGATTTTAAATGAGTGTTGACCTCACGTTGGTTACTCTCGGCCATCAGACTCTTTACGTCATTTCTCAGTTTAGATTCAAGTTCTTTAGGAAGCCAATTTCATCTTGCAGTTCAGCAATGTGTGACATCGTTACATCAGTTTGTGTAGCAGCACTTAAAGAATCTTGCATATCTTCGTACTCAGCGTCAAGCAGAGCTTCTAAGTCTGCAACCTTCTTTTTTGACTCAATATTTTGAGCTTCAAGAGATGGTTTAGGGCTCTCTGATCTTCCTAGGTTCTTCAGTTGAGTACGCAGCATCTCTATTTCTGACTCGTATTTTTTTATGCCTTTTATTATTTTTTTCCAGAAAATCGAGTCTGTATTGCAAGTCGATGAAATTCTTGCGCTTTTTGAGAATTTTTTTGAACTCTTTCTATTTCTTCGTTGTACGCATCCGTTACTTGGCGGAGTCCTGACTGTAACGATCGAATTTAGAATTGGCTTCTGTGAGCTGTTTCTTCAGGTCCAAAATCTCCAGCTGATTATCTAGTTTAGTGAATTCTATAAGCTCATTGAAAGATTCTTCAGTTCTTGCGTTGTCTTTTAAGTACACTTGCACGTACTTCAGCTATCACAGATTCTGCTTCGGCTAGTGCCTCCTCATATGTCTCTTCTTGAATAGGCCTCATTTCACGTCCGGATGATTCTTCTTTGGGTGGATAATTTTTCAATGGCATATACCCTAGTGATGCTTTTTTAGGTGATACGTTGCCATAGTGTCCAAAAGTATGACGTCTTAATGTTTTTTTCGGTGTTGATGCCGAGGCTCCCATTTGAAAGCGCCCGACAATAGATCTTCCGTTTTTAGTCTTTCTATCTCGAGCAGATACTCTTGTTTGCTTTTATCCATCTCTTTTAGCTTAATTGCCTGCTTTTTGAGCCGAGTTTCGAGATCGCGAGTCAAGTTCTGATATCCTTGAAGTGGTCTCTTCTGTAGCTGACAAGATGTTTTACTTTCGTTTTATTTTTGACAGTTTTAGTGCTTTGGGGCGAATTCTGGTGTAGATCTAGTCTCCTCCTCTGCAGCTAAAGTAACATTCCCGATAATCAATGATTTGGCATTACCGCCAAGAGCCTGTGAGAGCAGTCTAGTCAATTTCGAATCGCGATAACTGATAAACTCCTTCCCCTCGCTTAGTGCCTTATCACATTTCCTAATACTGACAAAGATTTGTTTATGTTAGCCCCTCTTTAAGACGCTCACCAGCACTTTCGTCAGAGAAACTCTCTCAGAACCAGCTAAGTCCATTAAGTTGAGGTAGCTTATATGTACAGGTCCATCTTTCTGATTGGCATCTTTCGACTCCAGAGTAATCCGGAAATCGTGTGTGATCGAGATGACCTCTCATTCATGCGAGTAGCTGCAACTCGTCTGATCTTATTGCCCTGCATCATGTCTCCATAACTTTATCAACATTGGTCTACGACAGCTTCCTTGCATCAAGCAGCACATTTCCTTTGATATCTTCTCATAGTTTAAACCCTGATTGCTCTTATCCAGGAGGTCATTGATCTTTTCATTGTAGATTCAATATAACGCATCTAATCAAGTACCTCTTATCAACCTGGTCTGCCACATGCTGGAATAACTGATTGGATACTAATTGGAAAAGCCCAGGATCTGTTTTATTGCCCAAAATGGTGTGTGTTTTGCCAGAAGATGTTTGGCCATATGCAAATATTGTGGCATTGAAACCTTCCATGAAGGAATCGACTAAAGGTTTTTACTACAGATCCATATACATCTGAATTTGTACATTCCTGATTAAATACATGGTCGAATATATAAACCTCTCATGGCGACTACTTTCATCGGCTTCCCATATGCAGTTTACTCTTACGTTCCAAAGACGCTCTAGACCATCGGCTACTTCGCGGTGGATCATTGGTCTGATCTTTGTGGCTACTTTAATATTGTTGGAAGTCATTTGGAAGCTTGACTGAAATTTAATTAGAACTAGGGCTATTTCACGGGTTATAAAGAGGGGCAGATGTATCAGGTTGATACATTCTTCTTTTTTCCTCCTTTCCAGTATAGAAGATTTTTTTCTCTTGTAGGCTATGAATGCCGGTCCGATAGTTTAGTAGAGCTACATTTACAGGGTGACTCAAAATCAAAGAAGAAACAGAATTGTTAAATTTCATATAGACTGTTATTGTTATTACAAAAAGAAGTTGAAGCAGCAGCAAATTCTCACAAATCTATAGATCCATCACTTTCAGCACCCGATTTTTCAACTTGAAAAATGCAGCTCGGTGAAGAATCACAAGGTAACTGTTGTCTATTCAGACAATACTCTTCTAAAAGCAACGCGAAGTTACCTAGTGCCTTACATGAATCGCCTTCATAATTCTTCATTATTGTCAATGGAAAACTGAAATTGTTGATTATTACAGTTTTTAATGCTTCAAATAAACAGATGGTGTTCGTGTTGGAAATCCCACGTCTAATCTCGCAAAACAGGTTATCCACCGGATCTTACTATCAACATCTGAAATGCCATTACTGTTTTTAGCCATGTGTACAACAGGTTTGTACGCATAAGACACTCTTACATGAAAAACTGTTTATTGTCTAAAAACGAAAATACCCCATTGAAGATGAGTAATGCAATAAATATAATCCTCGAAACTTGAACTGTAATATAACATAAAAAACTAACAAAATGGGCATTACAACATATTTGGTGTTGATATTCTACAACAAAACAAATACTTTCTCGTATAAGGAACATACATAATTAACATTTATCACTTTTCACGAAACAATGTAAGTGCGCTGTGGACTTTACTACTTATTACAGATTGTAGACATTTTTTTCATTGTGTATTGTCATGTAACACCTACGTCGTTTTTTTTCTTTAACAACTGCATCAGGATCGAGAACTCTGGGCTTACTTTATTCGTCGTTGGTAATTTAGGATTCTTTGCATGGCTGAACGAAGCTCCCTAGGAGTCTTGGATCTGATAACGTCCTCTCATACGAAGTTAAATTAGAGTTTGCCTCAGGGGAACAATAAAATTTCGTCGCCTAATGGAACTTTCAGTCCCAGACTGAAAAAAAAAGGAATTTACAGAAGCTGGTGGATACCAAATAGGCACAGGCCATCTTCTCGTTCTCTAACCAGTATTGTAATTTACACACTTCCGATCTAATGCATTACCCCCCGCCTTCATAGTGTTATAAAAATAATATAGGATCTTATCAGGTTTCTTTGATTCCTCTACTATTTTGTTATCATGCTGCATAGATTGCTATACGAGAACATGTGTATTTAGTTTTGGAAGATACTACTCTAGGCTGTACAACATAAACTTAGAAGTACCTGGCTGTGTTTCCTTCTTATTTGGAACTACATGTTGGGGTACTTGTTACTTATTTTACGCTTCCTGCCGACATAGGTCAGTTGGTTGATGCGCAATTCTACATGTAATTCTACTGACGTTGAACCAGTCATCTGCTGTGATATTTCTGTTCGTATAGACGAAAGCATTGAGCAGGTAGTGGTGAGTCTTGCATCATCAGTCCATACTTATTCGGTTAGTTTTCTTGTAGGCCCAGGAAGGACATCGGCCCACGAGCATCTCGTATTTTGTAGGGGACTCACCCGAAATATAACAATTTCGACAGTTCTCTATGAGTGTCTCGAAATTTCACGTATTGGAGAAATTTATCGGCATTTCTCGAGTCACAGGGTTATTATTTTCTAAATTGGTTGCCACGGACTTTAGTTCAGGTAAATGCGTAATAATCGAACAGTTGCAGGCGCTCGTTTTGACCAATTGTACATGTTTTTTCCATAGGCATAGCGAGGTCGCCATAGGAAGTTGTTCAGGTTGATCGATAGCAGCGTCGTCCTCGGCGTAGTCTATAGTGTATTGTTCATCCGTCAACAACGAAAAAATCCATTGTGAAGGAAGTTCAAATCGTACACGCAAACTGACATCCTCGGATCAATTTGACCGCAAAGTCAACAAACCAACAATTGTGATGTTTAAATTAAACTGTGGTTTGAGGTATACGTGCTCATACCGTATGAGAAGTCACGGGACCCCCACCACATAACTGAGAAAGCTCGAATCATCCGACGATATCATTAAAGGATTAATTTTCTATATTCTTGACGAATCTATAAAATCAAAGTGGCTGGGTTCAATTTACATAGCTCTTTGTATGGTCTTGTTTGCTGATCAACATTATATGATTTCTAGACATGTTCAATCTGTGCAGCTTCTTCACTTTCATATTAATGTCAATAAGAGCATTTCATCCATTTTTGAATAAATGTGGTTCATCACAAATTGTAGAAATACTCTGAGCATTGACTATAAAATGGAATGGACTTGATCCGTGAGTATTCTCCGAGCAAATCGTCTCAAGTGCGTTTTTGATCGTTGCGCCCTGATTAAGAATAGTGCAACAACGCACAAACCAAGTCCGCTGCTAGTTTGTGATCACATGAACAATAATCGTTTTTCAGATCTGGGATTCTTGTATCTTTTACTAGATAATAAGCCACAACCTGCTTATAATTTTTACGAATCCCTCTTATCATGGAAGTAAGGGCATGATTTCTGATAAATCACTTTTTCAGAGTTCTAGTTGATTTTGTTACCTCAGAATTCAAGATTTATTAGCTGAAAATTGTACACTGTGAGCACTGGGATCCAGCCCTAAACTTTGTCCAAACCCTGCAATAATCGTAAACACTAAACAAGGGTAGACATATTTCTAGTTTAACTGCCTGAAGATTTTCTCTATGGTTAATACGTAACTCTCCACCTATTATCTCATTTTTGTACATGTTCTGGGAGAACTCAACTTGCTCCCTATAAAATGCAACGTCTTCCTGCACAGGTGGTTCTGGTTAAGTGCCAGCCTGCTTCGGTTTGTAATTAGTTGTTGCAATTTCTGATTCGTCGTCCTTTTTCATAATCCAGATTTCGTTTTGGCATTCCAGTTCAGCCATTTGATCCTGAAGCTCTTTTATAGTAGAATCATTATGGCATCGTATATCTGATATTTTAAATGAGTGGTTGACCTCACGTTGGTTACTCTCGTCCATCAGACTCTTTACGTCATTTCTCAGTTTAGATTCAAGTTCTTTTAGGAAGCCAATTTCATCTTGCAGTTCAGCAATGTGTGACATCGTTACATCAGTTTGTGCAGCAGCACTTAAGAATGTTGCATATCTTCGTACTCAGCGTCAAGCATAGCTTCTAAGTCTGCAACCTTCTTTTTTGACTCAATATTTTGAGCTTCAAGAGATGGTTTAGGGCTCTCTGATCTTCCTAGGTTCTTCAGTTGAGTACGCAGCATCTCTATTTCTGACTCGTATGTTTTTAGTCTTTTTTATTTTTTTCCAGGAAAATCGAGTCTGTATTGCAAGTCGATGAAATTCTTGCGCTTTTTGAGAATTTTTTGAACTCTTTCTATTTCTTCGTTGTACGCATCCGTTACTTGGCGGAGTTCCTGACTGTAACGATCGAATAAGAATTGGCTTCTGTGAGCTGTTTCTTCAGGTCCAAAATCTCCAGCTGATTATCTAGTTTAGTGAATTCTCTAAGCTCATTGAAAGATTCTTCCAGTTCTTTGAGTTGTCTTTTAAGTACACTTGCACGTCTCAGCTATCACAGATTCTGCCTTCGGCTAGTGCCTCCTCATATGTCTCTTCTTGAATAGGCCTCATTTCACGTCCGGATGATTCTTCTTTGGGTGGATAATTTTTCAATGGCATATACCCTAGGGATGCTTTTTTAGGTGATACGTTGCCATAGTGTCCAAAAGTATGACGTCTTAATGTTTTTTTTCGGTGTTTGATGCCGAGGCTCCCATTTGAAAGCGCCCGACAATAGATACTTCCGTTTTTAGTCCTTTCTATCTCGAGCAGATCTCGTGTTTGCTTTTATCCATCTCTTTTAGCTTAATTGCCTGCTTTTTGAGCCGAGTTTCGAGATCGCGAGTCAAGTTCTGATATCCTTGAAGTGTCTCTTCTGTAGCTGACAAGATGTTTACTTTCGTTTTATTTTTGACAGTTTTAGTGCTTTGGGCGAATTCTGGTGTAGATCTAGTCTCCTCCTCTGCAGCTAAAGTAAACATTCCCGATAATCAATGATTTGGCATTACCGCCAAGAGCCTGTGAGAGCAGTCTAGTCAATTTCGAATCGCGATAACTGATAAACTCCTTCCCCCTCGCTTAGTTGCCTTATCACATTTCCTAATACTGACAAAGATTTGTTTATGTTAGCCCCCTCTTTAAGACGCTCACCAGCAGCTTTCGTCAGAGAAACTCTCTCAGAACCAGCTAAGTCCATTAAGTTAAGGTAGCTTATATGTACAGGTCCATCTTTCTGATTGGCATCTTTCGACTCCAGAATAATCCGGAAAATCGTGTGTGATCGAGATGACCTCTCATTCATGCGAGTAGCTGCAACTCGTCTGATCTTATTGCCCTGCATCATGTTCTCCATAACTTTATCAACATTGTCTACGACAGCTTCCCTTGCATCAAGCAGCACATTTCCTTTGATATCTTCTCTTTAGTTAAACCCTGATTGCTCTTATCCAGGAGGTCATTGATCTTTTCATTGTAGATTTCAATATAACTGCATCTAATCAAGTACCTCTTATCAACCTGGTCTGCCACATGCTGGAATAACTGATTGGATACTAATTGGAAAAGCCCAGGATCTGTTTTATTGCCCAAAATGGTGTGTGTTTTGCCAGAAGATGTTTGGCCATATGCAAATATTGTGGCATTGAAACCTTCCATGAAGGAATCGACTAAAGGTTTTACTACAGATCCATATACATCTGAATTTGTACATTCCTGTTAAATACATGGTCGAATATATAAACCTCTCCATGGCGACTACTTTCATCGGCTTCCCATATGCAGTTTACTCTTACGTTCCAAAGACGCTCTAGACCATCGGCTACTTCGCGGTGGATCATTGGTCTGATCTTGTGGCTACTTTAATATTGTTGGAAGTCATTTTGGAAGCTTGAACTGAAATTTAATTAGAACTAGGGCTATTTCACGGGTTATAAAGAGGGGCAGATGTATCAGGTTGATACATTCTTTTTTTCCTCCTTTCCAGTATAGAAGATTTTTTTCTCTTGTAGGCTATGAATGCGGTCCGATAGTTTAGTAGAGCTACATTTACAGGGTGACTCAAAATCAAAGAAGAAACAGAATTGTTAAATTTCATATAGACTGTTATTGTTATTACAAAAAGAAGTTGAAGCAGCAGCAAATTCTCACAAATCTATAGATCCATCACTTTCAGCACCCGATTTTTCAACTTGAAAAATGCAGCTCGGTGAAGAATCACAAGGTAACTGTTGTCTATTCAGACAATACTCTTCTAAAAGCAACGCGAAGTTACCTAGTGCCTTACATGAATCGCCTTCATAATTCTTCATTATTGTCAATGGAAAACTGAAATTGTTGATTATTACAGTTTTTAATGCTTCAAATAACAGATGGTGTTCGTGTTGGAAATCCCACGTCTAATCTCGCAAAACAGGTTATCCACCGGATCTTACTATCAACATCTGAAATGCCATTACTGTTTTTAGCCATGTGTACAACAGGTTTGTACGCATAAGACACTCTTACATGAAAACTGTTTATTGTCTAAAAACGAAAATACCCCATTGAAGATGAGTAATGCAATAAATAATCCTCGAAACTTGAACTGTAATATGAACATAAAAAAACTAACAAAATGGGCCATTTAACAACATATTTGGTGTTGATATTCTACAACAAAAACAAATACTTTCTCGTATAAGGAAACATACAATAATTAACATTTATCACTTTTCACGAAACAATGTAAGTGCGCTGTGACTTTACATACTTATTACAGATTGTAGAACATTTTTTTCATTGTGTATTGTCATGTAACACCTACGTCTTTTTTTCTTTAACAACTGCATCAGGATCGAGAACTCTGGGCTGAGAAGTAGACGGCTTACTTTATTCGTCGTTGGTAATTTAGGATTCTTTGCATGGCTGAACGAAGCTCCCTAGGAAGTCTTGGATCTGATAAACGTCCTCTCATACGAAGTTAAATTAGAGTTTGCCTCAGGGGAACAATAAAATTTCGTCGCCTAATGGAACTTTCAGTCCCAGACTGAAAAAAAAGGAATTTACAGAAGCTGGTTGGATACCAAATAGCACAAGGCCATCTTCTCGTTCTCTAACCAGTATTGTAATTTACACACTTCCGATCTAATGCATTACCCCCCGCCTTCATAGTGTTATAAAAATAATATAGGATCTTATCAGGTTTCTTTGATTCCTCTACTATTTTGTTATCATGCTGCATAGATTGCTATACGAGAACATGTGTATTTGGTTTTGGAAGATACTACTCTAAGCGCTGTACAACATAAACTTAGAAGTACCTGGCTGTGTTTCCTTCTTATTTGGAACTACATGTTGGGGTACTTGTTACTTATTTTTACGCTTCCTGCCGACATAGGTCAGTTGGTTGATGCGCAATTCTACATGTAATTCTACTGACGTGAACCAGTCATCTGCTGTGATATTTCTGTTCGTATAGACGAAAGCATTGAGCAGGTAGTGGTGAGTCTTTGCATCATCAGTCCATACTTATTCGGTTTAGTTTTCTTGTAGGCACAGGAAGGACATCGGCCCACGAGCATCTCGTATTTTGTAGGGGACTCACCCGAAATATAACAATTTCGACAGTTCTCTATGAGTGTCTCGAAAATTTCACGTATTTGGAGAAATTTATCGGCATTTCTCGAGTCACAGGGTTATTATTTTCCAAATTGGTTGCCACGGACTTTAGTTCAGGTAAATGCGTAATAATCGACCAGTTGCAGGCGCTCGTTTTGACCAATTGTACATGTTTTTTCCATAGGCATAGCGAGGTCGCCCATAGGAAGTTGTTCAGGTTGATCGATAGCAGCGTCGTCCTCGGCGTAGTCTATAGTGTATTGTTCATCCGTCAACAACGAAAAAATCCATTGTGAAGGAAGTTCAAATCGTACACGCAACTGACATCCTCGGATCAAATTTGACCGCAAAGTCAACAAACCAACAATTGTGATGTTTAAATTAAACTGTGGTTTGAGGTATACGTTCATACCGTATGAGAAGTCACGGGACCCCCACCACATAACTGAGAAAGCTCGAATCATCCGACGATATCATTAAAGGATTAATTTCTATATTCTTGAACGAATCTATAAAATCAAAGTGGCTGGGTTTCAATTTACATAGCTCTTTGTATGGTCTTGTTTGCTGATCAACATTATATGATTTCTAGACATGTTCAATCTGTGCAGCTTCTTCACTTTCATATTAATGTCAATAAGAGCATTTCATCCATTTTTGAATAAATGTGGTTCATCACAAATTGTAGAAATACTCTGAGCATTGACTATAAAATGGAATGGACTTGATCCGTGAGTATTCTCCGAGCAAATCGTCTCAAGTGCGTTTTTGATCGTTGCGCCCTGATTAGAAATAGTGCCAACAACGCACAAACCAAGTCGCTGCTAGTTTGTGATCACATGAACAATAATCGTTTTCAGATCTGGGATTCTTGTATCTTTTACTAGATAATAAGCCACAACCTGCTTATAATTTTTACGAATCCCTCTTATCATGGAAGTAAGGGCATGATTTCTGATAAATCACTTTTTCAGAGTTCTAGTTGATTTTGTTACCTCAGAATTCAAGATTTATTAGCTGAAAATTGTACACTGTGAGCACTGGGATCAGCCCTAAACTTTGTCCAAACCCTGCAATAATCGTAAACACTAAACAAGGGTAGACATATTTCTAGTTTAACTGCCTGAAGATTTTCTCTATGGTTTATACGTAACTCTCCACCTATTATCTCATTTTTGTACATGTTCTGGGAGAACTCAACTTGCTCCCTATAAAATGCAACGTCTTCCTGCACAGGTGGTTCTGGTTAAGTGCCAGCCTGCTTCGGGTTTGTAATTAGTTGTTGCAATTTTCTGATTTCGTCGTCCTTTTTCATAATCCAGATTTCGTTTTGGCATTCCAGTTCAGCCATTTGATCCTGAAGCTCTTTTATAGTAGAATCATTATGGCATCGTATATCTGAGATTTTAAATGAGTGGTTGACCTCACGTTGGTTACTCTCGTCCATCAGACTCTTTACGTCATTTCTCAGTTTAGATTCAAGTTCTTTTAGGAAGCCAATTTCATCTTGCAGTTCAGCAATGTGTGACATCGTTACATCAGTTTGTGCAGCAGCACTTAAAGAATGTTGCATATCTTCGTACTCAGCGTCAAGCATAGCTTCTAAGTCTGCAACCTTCTTTTTTGACTCAATATTTTGAGCTTCAAGAGATGGTTTAGGGCTCTCTGATCTTCCTAGGTTCTTCAGTTGAGTACGCAGCATCTCTATTTCTGACTCGTATGTTTTTAGTCTTTTTATTATTTTTTTCCAGAAAATCGAGTCTGTATTGCAAGTCGATGAAATTCTTGCGCTTTTTGAGAATTTTTTTGAACTCTTTCTATTTCTTCGTTGTACGCATCCGTTACTTGGCGGAGTTCCTGACTGTAACGATCGAATTTAGAATTGGCTTCTGTGAGCTGTTTCTTCAGGTCCAAAATCTCCAGCTGATTATCTAGTTTAGTGAATTCTCTAAGCTCATTGAAAGATTCTTCCAGTTCTTTGAGTTGTCTTTTAAGTACACTTGCACGTCTTCAGCTATCACAGATTCTGCTTCGGCTAGTGCCTCCTCATATGTCTCTTCTTGAATAGGCCTCATTTCACGTCCGGATGATTCTTCTTTGGGTGGATAATTTTTCAATGGCATATACCCTAGGGATGCTTTTTTAGGTGATACGTTGCCATAGTGTCCAAAAGTATGACGTCTTAATGTTTTTTTCGGTGTTGATGCCGAGGCTCCCATTTGAAAGCGCCCGACAATAGATACTTCCGTTTTTAGTCTTTCTATCTCGAGCAGATACTCTTGTTTGCTTTTATCCATCTCTTTTAGCTTAATTGCCTGCTTTTTGAGCCGAGTTTCGAGATCGCGAGTCAAGTTCTGATATCCTTGAAGTGTCTCTTCTGTAGCTGACAAGATGTTTACTTTCGTTTTATTTTTGACAGTTTTAGTGCTTTGGGCGAATTCTGGTGTAGATCTAGTCTCCTCCTCTGCAGCTAAAGTAACATTCCCGATAATCAATGATTTGGCATTACCGCCAAGAGCCTGTGAGAGCAGTCTAGTCAATTTCGAATCGCGATAACTGATAAACTCCTTCCCCTCGCTTAGTTGCCTTATCACATTTCCTAATACTGACAAAGATTTGTTTATGTTAGCCCCCTCTTTAAGACGCTCACCAGCAGCTTTCGTCAGAGAAACTCTCTCAGAACCAGCTAAGTCCATTAAGTTAAGGTAGCTTATATGTACAGGTCCATCTTTCTGATTGGCATCTTTCGACTCCAGA